TATATAATAGTATCCAGTATCTACAGTAGTAGTCAATACACTTCCATAGTGACACCTTAGTATCTAGTATCTTGTATATAATAGTATCCAGTATCTACAGTAGTAGTCAATACACTTCCATAGTGACACCTTAGTATCTAGTATCTGGTATATAATAGTATCCAGTATCTGCAGGAGTAGTCAATACAGTTCCCGTTGGAAAGACGTTAATTTTTTTATTGAATCTTGTTCTATGTGTTATCAAGATGTCAGTTCCATGTAAAAGAATCCGTCCGAGATGAATCTTACAAGAATTTTTTTGTCTAAAATATCCACTCCTTGCCTAACCTTTCTTCCATTTGTCATTATGATATGCGAAATTTTGACAATGGATCCTAAGAATTTCAAAAGTGATCTTATTTTTTTCCAATCTGTAAGAATACATATGATAAATAGCTTCTCAGCAAACAGCAAGAATTCCACAATTTATTTCATTAGAGAAATTTGACACCTCTGCACTTCTGCATGGATAGCAAACAGCAACTTTATATTATACTTAATTTGATATTTCTGACGCCAAGATATCAAATAAAAGAATAGTATGAAAAAGAAAATTGCCGAAAAGAAAGCTGTAGCTCTGGTAAATATGTGTAATATTAGGGAGAATAAAGCAGAGATATTGTGTCAAAATCTATAATTCCTCTGTCTACAAGGGATTAGAATGCGTAGATATACAAATGAGACACATAAAACAGATGTATGATCAGCGAAAAAGAAGATACAACAACCAGAAAATAAATTCACTGCTCTTTTATAAAATTTTGTTAAAAATAAAAATTCGAAAATAAATATTTAAAAAAACATGTTTGTGCGTCTTAGTTGTTTGCTGAAGCTTGGTAGAAATCAAAATTAAAATTAAAATTCGTCTTAATTGTATTGGTTTACACGACGACGACAGTAGTTTAGATACAGGGTCTCCCACATCATATTAGATCGTAAATAGGTCTAAATTATCATTTTTGGGACTAATTACGAAATTTAAGAATCATTTTAAAAAATTGAATAAGGCTAATATAAAAATTTTCTTGTTGAAAATGCAAGGTTTTTCGGGTATTATGTGTATTATGGCGTTAAAGCATGGAGATAATCTAATATGATATGGGACGCTCTGTACAATGAAGGAATTAAATAACAGGTGTAAACCTATTTTAGAATTGTTTAAAGGAGACTTTTAAAATTACATCAACAATTATTTTAATGTTTGAAAACCCACTGCTAACTATTTGCTATTTTCCAAATTATCTAAATATCATAAACACTTCCTTCAGGTTTGTAGATGTAGACCACAATGTCATTAGAAGGAGCTAACATGTGTCCTCATCTTCTTCATTTATCTAAATCAGGGGGAAACCTTGTCTCCTTGAACCCCTCAGTTCTTCAGCCGAGCCCCGCAGGTCTGCCGTCGAGCCGCACAACTTTACTTCCACAGTCTAAATCCTTGCAGAATTATAATGTTCAGGCTGGTGATGTTATTCTTGACATGTTGAAACGTAAATTAAAAATAATCCTTATATTAAAAGGTATCAACCATAAATAAGAACCTATGCAAATATTATGAAAATATTATGATGAGAATTAAAATCCATGTTTTGCCGATTTTCTAGAAATCATGGGCAATATGTCAGTATTCTGGGCGAAAAAATGGCTAAAATATGTTTTATTCAAAACTGACAAAAAATAAATGTTCTTTTTTATTCGATACAGAAAGTTTTTTCAAATTCAAAATTTCTAACCCCTATATCTCTGCAACCTGATGATGTTAACCTTGATATTTAAAGTTTACAGCCATTCTCTGTTAAAAGTTACTCTGTCAGATTTAAATCATTAAAATCGTTAAACGTGTGCAAAAATTGAATTGTAGGGGACGTGTAAAAATTGTTTTTCTGTGATGAGGAATTCGATTAAATACTTTGCGGAATTTTTAAACTTCTTTATTTTATTTACTTTAACAACATTAATGCAATCAATCTAATTTCATTTTTCTAAAATTAACTCAAAACGTGTTGTTTTTATAATTGAGCTAATTGAGCTACAGATCTTAAAACATATTCTAAAAATGAATTTCTATTTTCACGATGTATTTTTGCAATTTTGCTACCCACTCCTTCATCATTTCAAACATTAGCTTGGCCCTAATTAATGGACAATGAACATACCTTGACTATACTAAAATATACCCCAGGACCCGATCTTATTAAAATATTTTGATTCGGGTTTGATGTCAAAACAAATACCTGCAAAGTTTAGAATCTTTTATAATTATACATAATTTAAGGAATTTGAGCACTTGTCTCAAACTCTTATTTTATAATCCTGAAATCTTTGCAACCTGATGTCGGAGACCTCAGATATTTTAAACATTTTACATGAATATAAACACAATTGATTACAAAGTATTAAAAACAAAAAAATTTATGCCCTTGGTATTTTAAATATAGATTTTTTGATCTAACAGAATCCATATTAATATGTGACATCTGCGATCTTATGCTGTTTGAAATTAAGCTTACAGTCCCTTTCATGCACAACTTTAACGTATAGTTAAACAATCTTTTTACTTATATTTGAAACTTTATGCAAAAATTTGCATTGATTTACCAATCTTTAGCTTCATTATGAGTGACAACGACCTTTGCTAAGTAGTAACACCTTTTTGACGAGATTTGACAATTATTTACTCTGTCGGCAAGAGAATTTATCGTTTTCAAAGTTTTTCTTTTTCTTTTGAATGTTTTCAAATGTTTATAAACATAGAAAAAATTGTGCTTATATTTCTCTCAAGTCTTAAAGGGACAGACCGGCTTTGTAAGGTAGTTGAACTGCAAGTATGCAGTGTTGTGGACAAATTCTTTAGGATTAATTATTTGAATGAAGATTTAATTTGATTTGATAATTCCGTACTATACGTCTACCATTCTGTTGAGAACAGGAAACCAAGTTTTGATAATTCCGTTCTATACGTCTACCATTCTGTTGAGAACAGGAAACCAAGTTTTGGGGTTCTATGATCTCTTCATTAAAAGAATGGCATATTCGATTCACATCAGTGCCCTGAAATATTCGATTCACATCAGTGCCCTCAAATATTCGATTCACATCAGTGCCCTGAAATATTCGATTCACATCAGTGCCCTCAAATATTCGATTCACATCAGTGCCCTCAAATATTCGATTCACATCAGTGCCCTCAAATATTCGATTCACATCAGTGCCCTGAAATATTCGATTCACATAAGTGCCCTGAAATATTCGATTCACATCAGTGCCCTCAAATATTCGATTCACATCAGTGCCCTCAAATATTCGATTCACATCAGTGCCCTGAAATTTCCGATCAAGTATTCATTAGATATCTGACATCTTCTTTCTTTGACATTTGTATTTTCCATCAAAATTTCGCTAAAACATTACTTGCGCACTTCTACAATATAAACGAAGGAGGAAATTGTGAAAATTAAATACTTTTTAAGCTTGAAAAACGACATTTAGAGTTTAACTGTAGTATATTCCTTAACCCTGAGCAATGAACAACACTGTGTTTGTTTGTATTTCTCTACACATTGTAAATGAAACAGGAAAAAGATTTTACTGAGATCAGCGAAAACGGCCAATGCAGCATTTTACAGGAACCCTTAAGAACTCGAATAAAAAGAACAAAGTACCAGAAACTGCAGTACATTTGAATTGTAACTAAAGCCATGTGATTTCTAGGTATATTCCTTGCATTATTATCTTTAACATCATATACTCCTCTATAGGCAGATACCCAGGTTAAACCATTTGCTCCCAGTAGTTCAGTACTACCGGAGAAATCATTGGTTCCGTCCTGTTCAGGGTTCTTTAGATCTGACTCAGCAATTGATAACAGGTAAAAAACACAATTCTCTGCAGTATATTTCCTTAATATTGTTACATTCTTCTTCATCGTTATTTTCAAATTATAGCCAACAAGATGATTGGATCCATAAGCCAAACCAGTGCAAAAGCATAGGTTACACAAAACGTAGTTTGACGTTTTAAAACTTTAAGTTGAGCCAGCCATTAGGGTACTTGGTTGAACTCTCTGTTCGTAGTTCAACAACTTCTGGCAATTCATTAGATCCTGTTCCTGGACACTTGGAAAATTCGAGAAATGTATATAATAAACAAGACATTCATATATATGTTCCCTCTGCCCGACCAAACTGCTGGACCGAATGGTCTGAAATTTTTAGAGGACACTCATGGCTAGCCTCGGGGTGTCAAAAATTTTTCTAAAAAAAATATTATTCTTTGTATAATTCTCTTGTGCTCTGATGTTTAGGGTTTCCGTAGGATCCGGCTGCAGCACTATTCTACCCTGTGCTAAACCATCTCCTGTAATAATTGGAGATAATACTTGGATTCAGAAGAAAATATATCTCAGACCGCAACATAGAGGTCGTAGAGTCAAATTTAAGACATAAATATCAACATAGAGATCGTAGAGTCAAATTTAACACATATATCTCAACATAGAGGTCGTAGAGTCAAATTTTAACAAATAGATATCAACATAGAGATCATGCAGTGAAATATAACTTTTAGATTCTAATATAGAGGACGCAGTGTCAAATATGACACTTAAATCTCAATATATATGGATTAGATCTCAACATAGAGGTTATAGAGACAAATATAACACTTAGATCTCAACATAGAGGTCGTAGAGTCAAATATAACACTTAGATCTCAACATAGGGGTCGTAGAGTCAAATAAAACTCTTAGATCTCAACATAGAGGTCGTACAGTGAAATATAACTCTTAGATCTCAATGTAGAGGTCATACAGTGAAATATAACTCTTAGATCTCAACATAGAGATCGCAGAGTCAAATATAACGCTTAGATCTCAACATAGAGGTTGTAGAGTCAATTGTAACTCTTAGATCTCAACATAGAGGTCGTATAGTCAAATACAACTCTTAGATATCAACATTTAGGTCGTAGAGTCAATTATAACTCTTAGATCTTAACATAGAGGTCGTAGAGTCAAATATAACTCTGAGATCTCAATATAGAGGTCGTAGAGTCAAATATAACTCTGAGATCTCAATATAGAGATTGTAGTGTCAAATATAACTCTGAGTTCTCAACCTAGAGGTCATAGAGTCAAATATAACCCTTAGAGCTCAACGTAGAGGTCGTAGAGTCAAATACAACTCTGAGATCTCAACATAGAGGTTGTACAGTGAAATATAACTCTGAGATCTCAACAAGTTTGTAAAGTTATAAAACAACAAACGCTAAATATACAAATTGGAAGTATACAATGAGCAATTTGGTTTGATTTAGGTGTTCATCTAGTTACTGATGAGCTGCTCACCTCTCTACCTGAAATAACCAAATATAAGGTAAAAAGTTACCAATTTACTATGGTTTGAATAAAATAACATTAATTTTCATAAAATTTTAACATAACAAATAGGCAGGGAGTATAAAAATGTTAAGCCTATATATAATATTTGCTAGTAAAACAATGTAAGTCATGCCAAAAATAAAATGGGTTTGCATTTTAAATTGTATAACGGTTTTTTTGAAGTGAAACATCGGATAGGGATAAAAATGAATCTAGAGTATATCATCTCTTCATTGCATTGGATAAAAAGCCACTTTCAAAAATACCAAAAAATCAGTCTTGGCAGAAACTGACTGCAGGGACGGTGACTTTGGATAGAATTCTTTTTGAACTTTTTTCTTACTTTTTCTACACGATGGGGAGGAAGGCCAACCACAACATTTTCTCGTCCGAGCACCTCGACATCCGCATCCTTTCAACATAATTTTTTTAAAGTGTCTAATCCTTCCATATATTTTTTAAGAATCAAGCCGCGTTAGGGCATTAAGGAAATATCAAATTTTTGTAAATCAAAGTAAAAAGTTTCAATTGAATTAAAGATTTCAAGTTTAATGTCCTTAAAAATGTACACTTTTTTTACGCGCATTTTCAGATATTCCTGGTGTAGAATGCCGCAAATAATTCCAAGTTTATAGAACTTTAATCCTTTTTGTTAACTATAGTGAAAACCATAGAATTTTTCCGGGTGGTTCCATGAGGAAAATTACAGGCAGAGGTATGCCGAATATTTTTCTATTTATTTAAATCACGAAGGTTAGCCATTATGGAGGCAGAAGAGATTTAAGTTTTACCTAAATAAAGTTTGACATCATTCTCATGGGTTTGAAGATTCCAACATAATATAATCATTGCAATACTTTAGTCCATCTATATTTTATGCTCTAACGTGGCCAGATTTTTAAAAAAATAGTTTTATTTTCAAGAATTGGAAACTTTTCAACACAAAATAATCGAAGGACGAGGATTCTGAGGTGGCTCGGAGGAAAAAATGAGGAGAATGTGGCTCGGACGAAAAAAATGATGTGGCTGGCCTTCCTCCCCTCTCTACACTAGTCCTCCATTTTTTAAAATTATTGTTTACTTTGAAACACAGTGAATGCAAATTTTGGCGGGTTTCACCAGGTTCCATTTTGAGTAAAAAAAATATTATTGTGACCAAAGTCTTAGCAGATATCAAATGTTCCGATTTGATAATAAACTGAAATATATAATTTTCATAGGTTTTGGATGATTTTTTTTTGGCTTTTCATACCTTTACTTTCTTACATTTGATAAAGATCATACTGCACTTACTATAATACATTTAATTATTTAATTATTTTTTTAAGAACTATATTTTAAATTGAAGATATCAAAGATGGATTTAAATATCTAATATCTAATATCTAATATCTAATATCTAATATCTAATATCTAATATCTAATATCTAATATCTAATATCTAATATCTAATATCTAATGGTCCACATTTGATTATTCGTGACCAATCCCTTAAGAGTAGAAATATATACAAGTATATTTTATGAAAAAATATCTAGGTAGCCTGAGTATCAATGAGAACTGGAATCCTGAATATATATCTCTAGGTAGGACTAATGAACCTGCAGCTGTTGCATAGTTCTGCTAGCCTGAGTATCAATGAGAACTGGAATCCTGAATATATATCTCTAGGTAGGACTAATGAACCTGCAGTTGTTGCATAGTGATAGTTCTTCTAGCCTGAGTATCAATGATATATATCTCTAGGTAGGACTAATGAACCTGCAGCTGTTGCATAATTCTGCTAGCCTGAGTATCAATGAGAACTGGAATCCTGTATATATATCTCTAGGTAGGACTAATGAACCTGCAGCTGTTGCATAGTTCTGCTAGCCTGAGTATCAATGAGAACTGGAATCCTGAAGTCAGAGATGATATGGAGATGGTTCTTAACAGGTTACTTTACGTCATTTTTAAATTAATAATTTTAATTTCTAGAGTGATATGTCTGTTTACAACGGTATTCGTAATACCTATGCAAGGATTAATATGAAATCCATGTGTTTCCCATTAAACGTTTAATTATATTCGATTATGGGTTCTCTATAGAAATTTAATGCAAAGAGACAATAACTAAAACTTTTAGAATTCAACACTTTCCCATAAAGAAGACGACAATACCTTCCTCATTTTTACTTAGATAAATATTTGAAGGGTACCATTGTGAATTGCAGAAAAGCCACTCTATAAATTGACATAATACAATGAAAAAATGGAAATTGAAATTAAGTAAAAAGACCCTTTAAGATTGGTTCCTGAGACACTGAACTGGAAGCATACTGGAGTTACAGGGGAGGATAGTCCAGCTCATGTTAAAGCAGTTCTTCTTGGATCCAATCTCAGGTCAGCTTCAGTTCTAAATATTTATTTATAGTATTTTTAAGTACATTTTCTTGGGGGGATTTAACGGGACTGTTCTCCCATCTAATCGATACTTTCCCTCTAGAAAAGCTTAGAATATTCGTGGATTTCATGAATATTTTCCATACATCTTAATATCAAATCACCAGGGGTTATATCCCTGACAAGCATTTTCAAATTACAAGTTTACAAGTAAACAAAGAGAAGCTGTTAATTGACAACTTCTCATTTTTTGAAGTTTTTCTGCTGTTAATTTAGATGGAATGTTCGCATTGATGAATAGTTGATATGTAAAATCTTGCATATACATGTTTATTGCAACTTATTATTTATCATTTTAACCGTACATCATTCATCAAAAATCTGTAGAAAGCATATAATTAGGAAATTCATGAATTTAAATGAATTATAATGTTTGAAAGCTTGGTCTTCATTGTATTGATATATACGTCGACCACTGTATCATGATTAAAACTAAACGGACCAACCTCTATGGCGGCCAACCAGCTCCTATAAGAAAATGGTAGATTTTTTAGAAGTTTTTTTGAGACTGCACTAAAACTATGTTTGTTTAGCGTTTTGCAGTCCAGAGCTTGACACATTTTACCAAAGAAATGTTTTTTTTTTTACTTAAATATAATGATAATCATTGATATTTCTTTAAAAATGTTCGGGGCACTTTTTTAGAAATAGATCAGAGTTCACTGCAAATACAAAACCTTTAGTGACATTTCACAATCTATATAATTCAATTTAGCTTGTCTGTTTGTATCCAATAAAGAGGTTTAAACGACTGAGAGCCGACAGGGCCCAATTTTTGTAAGTCAAGAATGTTAAAAGTGAACATTTTTGCATGGAAAAAATGTCGATTCAATTTTTTGAAAAAAAAATGTTGATTCATTTTTTTAATTTATTAATGTTTAAAAAAAACTGCAAATGTTTGGGTTTTACAATAACGAAGAAAATGGCCACTTGAAAAAACAACATTTAAACGCTTTAATTCTTGGCCCGATAGCCAGGTTAAAAGTAAAAGAAGACGATTTGAATTCTGCTTTTTTCTGCCGATTTCACTTTACGTAGTAACTGTACTGTTTAGAATACCAATCCATGAAGGTCAACTTGGTCTTGGTACATGGCAGGGCATTTGGCTTTGTGAACACAGGTACAGGGTTACCCACAAAGGATGAGACTGTAAAGACTACACTAAACTCTAAAATTATGAGGATTTGAAGCTTGATTTTTGGTTTCTGATTTAGTTGAGTATTTTGATGGTTTTTCAAATGATCAAGCACAGAAATAAGGCAGTTTTGGCCGACAAGGAACCCTGAATGCAAGAAAACGGACTAAACGAATTCCGTACTATCGTCTCATGAAGTCTCATCCTTTGTGGGTAACCCTGTATAATAGTTGATATTCAGAGAATCCCCCAATACACAGAACATGAAACTTCGTGTATAGTTTGTATGGCCATCCTAAATCTATACAAAAATCTAGCTTGGGAACCCAGCTTTGTCTGAAAACTAAACTCTATGTATATTGAATATAGAAAATTGATGCGAAATGCATAAAAATAAGAAAATTTCGCGAAAATACGGTCGAAAATACATCGAAATTCGCAAATTTTGTTCAATTTCGCGAATTTCGTTCAATGTCCAGGTATAGTTGAAGTTGAAACATCATAAATACATAAAATTATATTTTCAGAGAGAAGGCGGGATCTAGAAAAATCGTCGTTACTTTAAATGGTCTTCAGTTATAAGAAAGAGAACGACAATAACCATAAACATTTCTCCAAGAAAAAAGTAAATTTTGAAAAAGATGAAAATCCAACTAAATCAGTGTGGCTGCCTAATGCTTATAGCACAGAGATCCAGACCGCTGTAAAAATTGTGCATCTATTTTCAATACCAGGTCGAGTGTTGCAACGCCTTGGTCTTTAGATTTACCATATTAACTCGCTTATACTTTTTTTGATGTTGGAAATCTTTTATTGTGAATATTAAGACCAATGCTTAACATCTATCTATTGTTAATCTGCATTAATTCAATCTTAATCGATATCCCGCAAAAAGTGTCGTCTGTGGACAACGAACAGCCAATCAGAAGACAGGAAATTTTGTTCTCAACCAATGGGAGAACAGAGAAATTGTGTTCATCTGCGTAAAATTCTAAAATCCCTATTGTGAATATCAGGATAAAGCGTTCGGGATTATGGATATCCAACTTAAAAATTCCCACTTCTGGACATATTATACGTTTCAGAATTATAAACCACTTGTTTCAAAGCTTCAGCTAAAAAGAAGTAATGTGAATAAAAACATGCCTTCCAAACGAGTTAAATAAATTTGGCATTTTTTGTACTCAACGGTTTTTGATTACTTTTGATTATCAAAAGTCAATTTTTTTAATTGAAACAAAACTTTATCAGAAATTAAACGTAATTTAAATTATAATAAATTAAAAAAATAATCGTAATGGGTATTAGAAATAAACTTTTATGTGTTAAAATACATTCGATTAATATACTGTAACATAATTATGTTAGTAATTACAGTCTGAAATACAATTGTATTAAAATTATGCAGTGTTGTGGAAAACTTCTTTCGGACTATTTTGAGACACATTAAACTTTTTTAAGATCTGTAAATCCTGAGTTTGAGTTAACGAAAAATAAAGTAAAAATTATACAGTAATCTAATTAGATGGTTAGGAACATATTTCCCAAAAAAAATTTGTCAATAAATCAATGCTAAGATCGATTATATAGTTTTCATAATTATATTGAATTTCTTATTTTCTTTGAATTTATTCGCAGATATCTTCAAACTCTTCAAATGTCGTCTTTTCAGTATAATGATTCTAGAAAATCTGCAAAAAATCTTTGTGACTAATGAGAAACCAGAATAATGAGAAAATAGAAACTAATAATTGAACAAGATTACTTATTTTCGATGATAAGATTAATTTTATTTTCTCAACATGTTCCATACATGACGTCTGCAGTTTATTGTAGAACTTTTTTACATTTTATGTCGTCGTTATTTAATAATTTAAAAAAACTAATTCTGAAAACGTATCCACCCCCAAAGTAGGAGTTTTAAACATCGAATTTGCGCTCAAACTCAGGATTTAAATATCTTTAAAAAGTTTAGTATGTGTCAAATGAATCCGAAAGAAGTTTTCCACAATACTGCATACTCAGTTCAACTACCTTACATAGCCGGTCACTCCCTTTAAAACAAAATAATAAATTTACCAAAATATTAAAAATACAGAGCTATAGAGAGGATACCTAACATAATTAGCAAAACTAAATGAATACACCTATATTTCGTGTATATGTATTCCAAATACATTGCGGCGGTGTTGTTGTATACCAAGCCATTATAATTCTAGTTTTTTTAAGTAATGGGAAAGACAATTATTCATATGATCAACAATCCGTAGAAAAGACAATTTTTAGATGGAAATAATTCAAATTAAATTGACGAAACTTGAATATTTAAAATTTCGTGTGAATTTATTTGGTCGAAAACTAGGACAAGTACATATATACATAATTATACATAATTACATTTCAAATAGAATTAAATAGTATTAAACATTTATTTGACTAGATATATCCGGATATGCAACTTTTTACGAGATTAGAAATCCAGAAACTTTCACTGGATTTCTTTCGTTAATTATTATTGAAAATAATGATAATAACATGATAAAATTTTAAAACCAAATAAACGTAGTAGAAGTGGTTTAACTATATGTTATAAACGCTTTTTATAAATTCTGGTTCCAGATAATGACACAAAAATATCTATGCCTTTTTTAACAGCACCCCCCTTCCATCTATGTGTCTATTTTTTGTGTGTGTGTCCCTACAGGTCCTCTCTTTCAACTTATATTAAGAAGTATAAGTTTGTTTTGATTTCTGTTATGTAAAGAAACATATTTTCTATTTTCTTTTAATTGTGTGAAAATCAAAACTAGTGAAGCTATAAGTTCACAAAGCCGCACAAGTAATTTTACATTTTGACCTTTGTCTTCTGTTGAGAGGAAGACAAAGAAGAATTGCAGCAATAATGATGCACTTATGAAAGTGTTGGGAGCCATATATAATAATACATTTTACAATGCAGGCGTACAGATCTCATTTACAGGGGAACTTATACCAGAAAACTAGAATTTATCTTATTATCTGGAAGACAAAATATATTCAAATATACTATAGATCTCCCAAACATGATAAATTTAAAGTCCCCATCGGTTGCATTTACTGAGAGAGCCCCCGCACCCCGGCGTATTACCTCAGTTCAAAGTGAACCCTGAGAGAGTTCAGTTGTGAGAAATCTAACCCTGAACCTAGGTCTCTAGTCCTGTATTCATCCTTATCTTCTATCTCAATCAGCTTTCCCCCGGCTCACAGTGTACTTATGTTCATAGCGTTGGCATCACTTTAATCTTGCGCATTTTTAGAAAACAACAAACTGACCATGTATGTTTAAAATTGCTTTCTCTGAATGATTTTAATGTTTTTATTAGCTGCGTTTTTCTATCTCATAGTATGTGTACGTATGAGGACTAATGATAAGCGACCGAAAAAATCAAGGTCCATTAAGAAAAGAAAACTTTGACAATTTTTTTTGGACAACCTACTTTTCGTCCAACACTGACAAAAATCTTATACAATGGTCGTTGTTTATATCAATACAACGAAGACGACTTTTCTATTTAAGTTTTGATTTATGACAAGCTTTTTTCAAATTTAAAATTTACAAGTAGACAAAGATAAGCTGCTAATTGTCAACTTCTCTTGGTTTCCATGTGTACGTGTTACACGCTATTAACGTGTTTCCATTTCATAGTGCTTAAATGCTTGGTAGAAATTTAAATCGAAAGTAGTTTTCATTGTATTGATATTTACGACAACGACTCTATGAAATTGAATTTTTTATTAAAGATAATAATAAACTAATTTTGGTCACTAGATATTTTTCCGTAATACATATATATGTGTAAACTATGAATTTTAGTGGTCCTTTTTCAGTTTATAATCTGCTTTTTTATATAAACCGCTTGCTTGAAAATTTAAAAAGAAATCGTTTTTTGGCTTTTTTGCCCCTCTTCCTGCTGGACCAGAGATATATAAACATTAGATGTAAAATACATTCATTTTTGAGAACCCTCCTTTCAAACAGTTCCTGCTTCCTTATGTTTTTATTTTTAAAGTTTTTGTTTTGAAAACAAAAAAAAACTAATTACACCAGTTCTGTTTAGAACTTTTAGCTAACAATAAGGGGAGTTTCAGGGCTAGGAATTGTATAAAAAACATAGTTTGGAATTTTAACAATTGTCTAATCCGAATTTTAATTAGAAATGTCATGTTGCCAAAATAAAGCAATAAAAAAGTATAGTTTGTGGCAAGTAATCAATTCCTTTGAGATGCCCCTAGATTCCCCCTCCCCCTCATTGTATTCGCCCCCCGAGATTTAATATTCACAGGTAGACTTTAAAGTATCTTTAAAGTATCTTTAAAGTGTCTTTAAAGTGTCTTTAAAGTATCTTTAAAGTGTCTTTAAAGTGTCTTTAAAGTGTCTTTAAAGTATCTTTAAAGTGTCTTTAAAGTGCCCTTACAGTGTCTTTTAAGTGTCATTTAAGTGTCTTTAAAGTATCTTTAAAGTGTCTTTAAAGTGTCTTTAAAGTGTCTTTAAAATTGTCTGTAAAGTGTCTTTAAAGTGTCTATAAAGTGTCTATAAAGTGTCTCTAAAGTGTATTTAAAGTTGGCTTTTTGTTTTACATTACTAACTTACTTTTACTCTTTTAGCCGTAGAAATGTATATTTTGGTTCTGCAGTGATAAAAAGAAAACTCTGAAATAGGAAGACGACCTTATGGCAATACTTAAGTGTATTTGATGTTGTTACAAAGAAAAAAGATTTACTAGTATTAAATTATTAAATCACTAATTAAGTGAAAAGGGTCTGTTTACACTTCACAATTGCCGTTTCCCATTTTCTTGGACTATATAAAGCCACAACTTGAGTCTAAAAGTTAGAGTTTTCTGGTTATCACTGTAGCTTTAATTTAGAATGAGTAATTGGAAAAATACTGATAGATATGTGCGTGAAAGTATGCACAGTGCACAGTGGGCACATACTGCACACTTGGGATTACTGTTCATATTAAATATCAATAAAGAATAAATTGAAATGTAGACTCTTCAGATACTGTAGACAGGAGAAGAATGAAAGGCAAAATCTAATATTTAAAGGGGGGGAAGAGTGCTAGGAAAGGGAAGACATAACAATTTTTGGAACAGACAAAGATGATAGAAGCATGATGTTAATTTTGGGAGTAGGTGGGGTGGGGATGTAAAGGGTAAAGGTTGGTATGTCTGTGTTTTAAGGTTTAAGATGTTTTTTTTCGGAGGGGGGGATACTTAATGGCTTAAAGAAAGGGAGAGGGGGGAGGGGTGAAGGCTGTAAAGATTAATAAACGAATAAATAACTTTAAGTTTCGTACGAGCGTGCACGTTCTATCTCACAAAATGCCTCCTCTCTGACTGTGAAATACAATTTATTTAAATATATTGAAAATTATTCAGCTCTCACAGGTTTTCTTTAGCTTGGATATCTATTGCGTGAATACTATCTGTGTTATATACCTTAATCTTCTGTCTACTATTTGTTAAAAATATCAATGATAAAATTTACATCTGAATGATAATATTATATTGGACTAGGTTTTGATATTTAATTAGCAGCTTTAGAGACTAAAATTAACGTATAGTTTTAGCTTTTTTTGCTGTAAATTCAGAATATGTTCCTTCTTGGATATCTAGAAATAATAAAAGATATTTAAAAAAATGAAAAACTCAACTAAAACTTAAATTCTATGAGATGAAAAAAGGTTTAAAAACTATGAACCACAAATAATGTTTACTTTTTGCTTCACTCTTCAGTTTAAGATTTGAAAAGTGTGATAGAGGGCACTGCCCCCCCCCCCTGTATACGCTATTGCCTATTCTACACTTTTTTTGTGTCTAAACTCATTCATGTAACTACCTATATCTCATTCATGTAACTACCTATATCTCATTCATGTAACTACCTATATCTCATTCATGTAACCACCTATATCTCATTCATGTAACTACCTATATCTCATTCATGTAACCACCTATATCTCATTCATGTAAATACCTATATCTCATTCATGTAACCACCTATATCTCATTCATGTAACTACCTATATCTCATTCATGTAACCACCTATATCTCATTCATGTAACTACCTATATCTCATTCATGTAACCACCTATATCTCATTCATGTAACTACTTATATCTCATTCATGTAACTACCTATATCTCATTCATGTAACTACCTTTATCTCATTCATGTAACTACCTATATCTCATTCATGTAACCACCTATATCTCATTCATGTAACTGCCTATATCTCATTCATGTAACTACCTATATCTCATTCATGTAACTACCTTTATCTCATTCATGTAACTACCTATATCTCATTGTTAAAGGACTGTAAACGCAATTCACAAAAAGACTCATATCAGCTTTGTCTCATAGCGAAGGAATAGGATATTTGAATGTTGATATTTTAAGAAGTGGTTTCTCCATTAAAGGTTACAGAAACAGTGGAGGACATTTTAGAATTGAACACGTTACAAGCCTGGAAAATACAACGATATCTTTCACATTATCAAGCGGATAAAGTTTTAAAGATATACCAAAATTTGGTTTGTCTGTCTGTTTGTCTGTCTGTCTGTTTGTATCAAATAAACGTCAAAACGGCTGAACCGATCGGGCCCAAATTTTTTGTGGGACATCTAGGGACCCCAGGGAAGGTTTATGAATGATTGAAATTTTAAATATTTGTCTCCATCAAAATTCGATCGTCATTAAATTTTTTAAAATTTTGAAAATCCACGAAATTTTTTTTGAAAATCCGCGAATTATTTTTGTTTTGTTTTACGATGTACACAAAGAGAACATATGTTCACAATTAATTTAGAAGATGGGCGCGAAGCGCCCACTAAGGCTAGTTATAAATAAAACATAGAACTTAAAATTACATTCGAACATTTCATTTAAAGTTTTAAATTACATTTTTAGTGAATAACCTAGTTACAACCTATCATACTCTTAATAATTTCAGAAAATCATGCTTTGATAATAAAAGATCAAATACAAAAACAATTACAAATTGTAAATATAAAGATGTAAGACTTGCATTAAGAAGATACGTAACTACGGATTTATAAAACTAAAAACCATTTAAATATTTAGTTTTATTGACTTCACATAACAAAGCTAAAAATGAAAAGATAAAAAGTTGGAGTTAAGGATTTTTCTTCATCATGCAGCAATTCACATTAATAGGTGAGTATATTAAGTTATAACTTATATATAAATTGAGAAATATGCTTCTTAATTTCTTAAGAAATATGTTTCTTAGTTTCCTTATTTATAGAGTAGAATAATAGTGAGCCTGGTTTTATATCACATAATCTATCTAATTAGTCCCACCATTAAACTACTAATTGAACCATAAATGTGCGTAAATATTACAAGTTTAGGCTCAATTAATTTAGATAAATGTAATTTATAGATACATGTTTATACTTGTTTCTCGTTCAATTCTGTATAATAGTACTTACAGTCCACATATCAAATATGCTAGAAAATAAAAAAGAACTCTCTCAAAATAGCCTAATTAGAATGCCAGGGGGGGGGAGAAGTGCCCCATCTTATGAAAGGTATTTTGCCCTTAAAAATTTTCAAACATTTTTCCTTTAACGTCGAATGAGGGGGTGGGGTGGGGTCAATTTATTTTGATACACATGTTGTACGCATCTTTTGTACTGCAGTGTACTGTCTCTGGGCGGTAATGTAAACACAAGACGGGTGTCACAGCCTGACATGGGATCCATCTTTCACATAAAAAATCAATAAAATATTCTGGTCATAAGAAACTATTATGTGAATTATCAGATTGATCAAAATTAAATGCTTTTATCCTCCTCGGATACTAAACCAACACTAATTCATCTATTCTTGTTTACAAATTCCGCCCAGAGTGAACTGGTTTCAATATGTACGCAGAGTATACGCAATTGCAATTAACTTTCCTTGCATTATAACCTTGCCTGGGGTAATGTGAGTTTCTACACACAATTTGAGCCCGATAGTCCAGCTTTTTTTAATGTTATTGGATATAATCAAACAGACAGACAGACAAGCAAAGTATATATAATAACAAGATTTACAAGATTGAACAAAAATCATGGATAATCATGGATATAAACAAACAGCTACAGACAAACAGAGACAAGTATAATATATAAATTTTGAAAAAATAACTTTCCTATGTACTGTCCTGAAAATGATGTATCATTTATGCATTTATACTTTTATACATTTATTTATTTATTCTTATATTAAAACTCATTTTAATCCTTTATCTTTGTTTGTATTTTTTGCGAAATAATCTTCAATGATAATATAAGAGATTTCAAACAATAAGAATTTGTAAACAGAAACAACGTGAAATACCATCTTAACTTTTCTTCAGATATTTTGGCAATTTTAGTATTTTAAACCTCAGTAAATCTCAGTAAATCTCAGTAAACCTCAGTAAACCACAGTAAACCACAGTAAACCTCAGTAAACCTCATTAAACCCCAGTAAACCTCAGTAAACCTCAGTAAACCTCATTAAACCTCAGTAAACCCCAGTAAACCTCAGTAAACCTCAGTAAACCTCAGTAATCCTCAGTAAACCTCAGTAAACCTCAGTTATATCTCAGTAAACCTCAGTAAACCCCAGTAAACCTCAGTAAACCTCAGTAAACCTCAGTAAACAGCTCAGTAAATGTCAGTAAATGTCAGAATAAATGTCAAGATACTGGAACAAAGAGCCCTGGGGTTAAAGGGTAAAAACTCGTCGTTGAGGGGTTTTCCTGATTTTATCTCTTGAAAGGAATAAAAGTGTAATCACCTATTGCAGGCTGCAATTATTTTCTTAAAAGAAATTGTGCACAGGTTTCTCCTTACAACAATATACAGGGTGTACCAACAAAACATTGTACAGGGTGTACCAATAAAACATTGTACAGGGTGTACAAATAAAAAATTGTACAGGGTGTATTAATAAAACATTGTACAGGGTGTACCAATAAAACATTGTACAGGGCGTACCAATAAAACATTGTACAGGGTGTACCAATACAACATTGTACAGGGTGTATACAACATTGTACAGGGTGTACCAATAAAACATTGTACAGGGTGTACCAATAAAACACTGTACAGGGTGTACCAATAAAACATTGTACAGGGTGTACAAATAAAAAATTGTACAGGGTGTACCAATCAAACATGGGATTCAAAAGACGACATTTTTACCGTGCAATGTTCTATCGTTAATTTTATTAATATTAATATTAAGTGGCAAAGAGACATTAGTGGACTTCTAATCGTCGTTGATATTTATTTTTATTAAGGGACTGTACGCGTAATTTCAAGTGATCCTTTACTCACAAATGGAAATGCCGGATTCAAAACAGTCCCCTTGAACCCTTTATCTAATCTATAATAGGGAAGACATTGTCGTTATTGTAGGTTTAAAAGTATTTAATTCGGATAATTCTTAAACGTATTCTGTCAGTCGAAATGCGAAAGTCACTTTTGCATTTCAGAGAATAAAATAATCAGTTTTAAAAATTATGAACAATGATATCTAATAAGACAAACTTTAATGGTACTGTTGTGAATCGGGCATTTCAAACGTAGCATGGAGTGTCACATGAAATTACGCGTACAGTCACTTTAAAGAATTGCAATGTTCGTTGTTAAAGAGACAGACCGGCTATGTAAGGTAGTTAAACTGAGTATTCAGTGTTGTGGACAAATTCTTTAGGATTCATTTGAGACAAATAAAACTTTTTAAAGATCTGTAAGTCCTGATTTTGAGTATAAAATCTTATTCAATTATTAGTTTCTATAATCTTTCTTTAATCACAAAGATTTTCTGCAGATTTTCTGGAATTTTTATTTAAAAGACGACATTTGAAGAATTATTGACAAATTTCTTTTGAGCAATATGTTCCTAAACATCTTATTAGTTTACTATAGAATTTTTACTATATTTTTCGTCGTCGTTGTTTAATAATTAAAGAAAACGATTCTGAAAAAGTACCCACCCAAATTCATGATTTTGAACGTCGATCTTTGCGCTCAAACTCAATAATTATACTTCGTGGAAACGTTTTATATGTCTCAAATGAATCCTAAAGAATTTGTCCACAAAACTGCATACTCAGTTTAACTACCTTTCATAGCCGGTCTGTCCCTTTAATTAAAAAATCCCTGACAACATTTTATAATAAAAAGAAATAAAAAAAATTATTTGTATTCCACGTTATTTTTTGCTACTACAGTATCTTGTACATAATTTATTATACAGGTGTCTGCTGTTTGACTGTAGTAACTGCTTGGTATCCAATCAACCCTGCGTCTCCAAAAACCTCTATTGTAGAAGACCCAAACACCTCAGAAAGTGATGACCTGGAAACCCCTGATTATGAACCACTTTTGAGTCGAGATCTTGACATTCCTCTGCCCGAGGACCCTGAAACCACTGATATTGAGGTCCCTCAAGTCCCTGAAGCCCCTATGAATCGTGAGCTAGAAACCCTGTCTGTTGGACCTGGAGGTGGCCCTACAAAGAGCATAGATGGAATAACATACAGGTTGGATCCTGGCTTTCTTTGAAGTGACTGTTTACCTATTCTAGATTAAACCAAAGCTGTATTGTAAGGTACTCCATGAATGTAATCGAAATGCCCCACTCGACTCAACAGCTTTACGTTGTCACTTCATCTTCCGCCAATAATCAGTTTGAGTGCAGACGACATTTCTAGTACAATTGAGCGCATTAGAAGTATCTAAACATTCTATACAACCTTGGATTAAACACAATAATCTAATAATTTTGAGTTGGGAACACAATCTATATAAACCTAACGTCAGTTTCTGTTCACATTATAACATAGCGTTTTTGCAAGAAACCCAAGTTTTTACTGAAAATTTTGTGAATTTTTTGTCTTATATATTTAAAAATCCACAAAAGTTAGGTGAATAAAGTTATATTAACGCTTTATACAATGTTACAGTAAATTTACTAACTTCAAAAGTTACCGCTTCTCTACACAGTTCCAACTAAAAATGAACACATTAAAGTCTAATATATCATGAAACAAGAGATATTCAGTAAAAATGCTAAATTTATAATCTTCATGAATGCAAAATTCAAGTCCAAACAAATCATTCAGATATTACAACCAATAATTATCTATAATTTTTCGACGCATTCGTATAAAGTTATTATTTCTTAACATATTTTATTGTTTATGATCTGATAATTACTTTAAAATTTTTTTTTCCTGTTTCGAGGAATTTTGTTAATGAAGACGACATTTCATATTTTCCAGGAATTTTCTAAAATCCAGCGCCAGTAAAATATTATTTTTTAAAAACAAAATAAAAAATATTAAAAGAGATATTACTTAGATACGAATGGGTCAAAAAATAATCGATGACCATTGTTTGTAATATCTGAATGATTTGTTTGGAATTAAATTGATCAGAGTTGATTTGAATGTTGAAACTTTCTGAATTTTTCGCCGTAAGCCTATACCCCCTTTAATTTTTCGCGAACACTCCCTACAAATAAGACACTATTTTATGTCTGATGAATTTTGTAGAGCAATTCGTTTTTATTTAACAAAACACTTGCTTTTGTTATTCAATATGTAAAGAAGCAATATGTGAAAAATATTTTGCACTGCATTATCTTGCTTAGTTTTGTTGCGTTTGATGAACTGAACAACCTAACACGTGTTTATTTTTGTTGCGTTTGATGAACTGTACAACCTAACACGTGTTTATTTTTGTTGCGTTTGATGAACTGTACAACCTTTTTGCGTTTGATGAACTGTACAACCTAACACATGTTTAGTTTTGTTGCGCTTCATATACTGTACAACCTAACACGTGTTTAGTTTTGTTGCGTTTGATGAACTGTACAACCTAACACATGTTTAGTTTTATTGCGTTTGATGAATTGTACAACCTAACACATGTTTAGTTTCGTTGCGTTTGATGAACTGTACAACCTAACACATGTTTAGTTTTATTGCGTTTGATGAATTGTACAACCTAACACGTTTTAGTTTCGTTGCGTTTGATGAACTGTACAACCTAACACATGTTTAGTTTTGTTGCGTTTGATGAATTGTACAACCTAACACATGCTTAATTTTGTTGCGCTTGATGAACTTTACAACCTAACACATGTTTAGTTTTGTTGCGTTTGATGAATTGTACAACCTAACACATGTTTAGTTTTGTTGCATTTGATGAACTGTACAACCTAACACATGTTTAGTTTTGTTGCATTTGATGAACTGTACAACCTAACACGTGTTTAGTTTTGTTGCATTTGATGAACTGTACAACCTAACACGTTTTAGTTTCGTTGCGTTTGATGAATTGTACAACCTAACACGTGTTTAGTTTCGTTGAGTTTGCTGAATTGTACAACCTAACACGTGTTTAGTTTCGTTGCATTTGCTGAATTGTACAACCTAACACATGTTTAGTTTTGTTGCGTTTGATGAACTGTACAACCTAACACATGTTTAGTTTTGTTGCGTTTGATGAACTGTACAACTTAACACATGTTTAGTTTTGTTGCGCTTGATGAACTGTACAACTTAACACATGTTTAGTTTTGTTGCGTTTGATGAACTGTACAACCTAACACATGTTTCGTTTTGCTGCGTTTGATGAACTGTACAACCTAACACGTGTTTAGTTTTGTTGCGTTTGATGAATTGTACAACCTAACACATGCTTAATTTTGTTGCGCTTGATGAACTTTACAACCTAATACATGTTTAGTTTTGTTGCGTTTGATGAACTGTACAACCTAACACATGTTTAGTTTTGTTGCATTTGATGAACTGTACAACCTAACACGTGTTTAGTTTCGTTGCATTTGATGAACTGTACAACCTAACACATGTTTAGTTTTGTTGCATTTGATGAACTGTACAACCTAACACGTGAACAACACGACACCTTGGCGTACAACTATACGCAGATGCAGTTCACACCTAATGAGTAAGTACAAATTACAGCACTTCTAAAAAGACTGAAGCTACCAAACATAAGTCTGTTGCAATGTCATCAGTAATTTAAAGTATTTCAATCCATATTTAAAGAGCCACATGTCTTATTCACAACAATACCTTTTAACCCCCAAAGTCTGAGCAAACATTTTCAAATTTTCTATCCGAAAATTGAGGTTTCTCTGTATCAATGCAATTTTTGGATTTCTGCAGCATTAGCAAGGAAGGAAATTTACAAAATTTATCTCTTTTTAAGATTAAAAACAAGGATGTATCCTCATTGTTACTAAGATTAAGGTTTAAAGGGTACCGCTGTGCATCGAACAAGTCTTTAAACGGAGGTTCACGTGAAATAACGTTTTTAAATGTTTTTCCCTTTAGTATTTCAATTACCTTGAAATTACAGATATATGATATTGCAATAGATTTTTGCAATAAGTTTTGCAAAACGTTTTTTTATATATTTGTGCAACAGTTTTTGCACTGTTTTCTGCAATTCTCGGGGTTTAGCGATTTCTCTTATTTAGGGCGTACACTATACATACATTTGATGAACATAAAGAATAATGTTTTATCTCTACAAGCCTCTTACGCAATAAAGATTGTGGCATTTTTTTAATCAATGATTAGATAAAACATTTAAATGCATTTAATAGAAAATCTAGAATTTATTAGCATCATTTTTGTTCAAGTGCACTTGAAAAAATGTGCTTTTTGAATTTGTTTAAAAGTTACTAGAAGAACGCAAAACGTAAAAAGTTATGTTCTAAAATTGTGTACCATAGGAAGCCTTAAAACAACTAATTTGATCAAAAATGTCGATGATATCGTCTTTAATTCTTCAAATTTCTCCATTGCTTCTTATAAGCAAGAAATGTGCAAGTCACTTTCGCAGAGAACCCGCGAATGAAAAAAAAAACAGATTAAAGAATCCAATATATGGATATCTAATTCATACTTGATCAAACCAAGCTTTTAAGGGTACCGTTGTAAATCGGGCATTGCCATCTTTGCATGGAGGATCACTTGAAATTACGCTTACACTCCCTTTAGGGTTTTGTTATCATTAAATTATGATATTTAATGCCTAAACCTTGATTGTCCTTCATATTATTTGATTTTTTACGGCTGATTAGCGGCCTGGAGAATTCTACCTTCATTTAAACATTTTCACAATTTTATTTTTTTGTCAAATTGAAAGTAATCCTTCAGAAATATAAAATTTAAAAGGTTTTTTAACTAATTTGAAAATATAATTTTTCCCAAATCCCAAACATAATGTTAGCCAAATTGTTCATAAAACTGGTAAATTTAAAAATAGATTAATACTAAAAAGGGGCAATATAATATATTCATCATTGTGAAAATTATTCTGAAGTTAAGGAAATTCAATTTTCGAAAAGTATATTTGTTTATTATGGTTTTATAAACAAAAGTAAAAAAACGTCTCATATATTTAATGCGTAAAGCATCTAGTTGAACCACTTGACCGATTTACCTCAAAACTGTATTGGGAAACTCGTTAGAAGACTCTTAGCTTAGTTTGAAAAAGTGAGTTTAGTCTATTTTTGATGGAAAACTGGGTTTCAAAGCTAGTATAGTATGATTTTACTACTATAGTTTCGGTAGAAGTAAATATTTCCATTTACTAAAAGCGCCGATTGAAGGATTCATATCTCTAATTGGATACTGAGATAGATAGAAAGATAGATCCTACCGCCATACTATTTTTATTGGTTCAAATAGACAACAAACACATGACTGAACCCTGATAGGATCAGGCGCTAATGGACTCGGCACATGATGTAACAATTAATTGTGTACAATGCCAAGAAAAAATTAACTTAAAAAAATTTCTTGATTTTCATTCAGAAAAATAATCTTGCTTTAAGAAATGATTGAGTAAACATAAAATTTAAAATCTGATTTAAAGAGGGATCAATTGTTTATTTTGCTAAGACAAACAATGAACATTTAGTTTTCCTTATTTATGTTTACAGAAATGAATCTATCCATCAACTTGAAATGACATCAAGTTGTTTTTCAAGACCAAATTTCAGATTCTCTTCCACGTCAAACTAACTACGTCAAAGTGCATCCAATCAGAGTTCAGTCAGGTGTTTGTTGTCTATTCTGAACCAATAGAAATAGTATGGCGGTAACATCTATCTTTCTATCTATCTCATTATCCAATTAGAGATATGAATCCTTCAATCGGCGCTATCAGTAAATAAAAATATTTACATGTACTAAAACTGTGGTGATTTTGATCTCTCATAAAAAAACGACAAAACATTTTGTGGTAAAGACTCAATAAACTTTAAAAAAAACATTGTCAATGTTCAGTGTTTATCTTGCAATGATATAATCTATGAAGCTACCTGTGTTTTATTCTTAGGCCAATAAAACTCCGAGTGCCAACAACTTTAGCGTTTGATATCAGGTATATAGTATATACATTACAGTTTGATATCAGGTATATAGTATATACATTACAGTTTGATATCAGGTATATAGTATATACATTACAGTTTGATATCAGGTATACAGTATATACATTACAGTTTGATATCAGGTATATAGTATATACATTACAGTTTGATATCAGGTATATAGTATATACATTACAGTTGATATCAGGTATATAGTATATACATTACAGTTTGATATCAGGTATATAGTATATACATTACAATTTGATATCAGGTATATAGTATATACATTACAGTTTGATATCAGGTATATAGTATATACATTACAGTTTGATATCAGGTATATAGTATATAAATTACAGTTTGATATCAGGTATATAGTATATACATTACAGTTTGATATCAGGTATATAGTATATACATTACAGTTTGATATCAGGTATACAGTATATACATTACAATTTACATAGAGAGAAAGAAAACGATTACGCCCTACAAACTCTAAGTTTTTTGTCCTAAAGACTTTTGACGTTTCAAGTTATTAAGTCTGGGTGTCTAGAATTAAAATTTCTTTGACAAGGGCCGGGGATCAAATTAGATTTAATGAAGAGGGGTGTTGGATTTGTAATGCACAAATATAATTTACATAACTCCTTTGATGATTTAATATATTAGCTGATATCTTACAGCTAGAGCCAGAAAACTGTGGAAGACGACCTCAAAGTAATGATGAATTGTATTTGATGTGGTTACGGAGCAAATAGTTTTAAACTAGTAACTTATTAGATCACTTAATAAATGAAATACGTCTGTTTACACTGCACAACTGCAGTTGCACTATTTAAACTAGTAACTTATTAGATCACTTATTAAGTGAAATACGTCTGTTTACACTGCACAACTGCAGTTGCACTATTTAAACTAGTAACTTATTAGATCACTTATTAAGTGAAATACGTCTATTTACACTGCACAACTGCTGTTGCACTATTTAAACTAGTAAATTATTAGATCACTTATTAAGTGAAATACGTCTGTTTACACTGCACAACTGCTGTCATAACTTGAGTCCAAAGTCGTCTTCCAATTCCAGAGTTTTCTGGTTTTCACTGTAGGATACGATTCATTTAATTTTATCACACCTGAAAAAAAAACAATTTATTTTAATAAAAAAGTTTTTCCTTATTAAAATCTTTAACATTATTATAATTTTATTTTTCTCCTAAGCAAAAGTGAATAAACTTCTTTACAAATCACTGATCGTTGAGGTAAACAGCCCTGTAAATAAAAGAAGGTGGGAGGGGAGACTTTTAACCCTCCTTTTTTAACAAGAATTGACTGTTTTTTAACTAGGTCCCCACTGAAGAAGTACTACCCGCCAAATCTAAACCCTCCTATGGAATATAACTTTTCAGATTTCCCGCAGGAGGACCATTTAACACACATTTACAGGTTAGTATTAAAAAAATATTTAACCTTTTTTTAAAAAAAGTATTTTTTGAAAATTCAATATTTAAAATTTTTTTTTATTATTTGAATTTGTTAACAATTTTATTTTTATGTTTAAGGAAAGAATTAGAAATAAGCAAGGTGGATGTGGATCCTCATTTAGTTGATCAGTAAGAAAACAATCATAATTCATATTTTTATTTTATTTTTGCTAAAAAAATCATATTAAGCGTAGCCATGATTAAAAATTTTAATATTATTAATTTTTGAGAAAATGCTTAATTTTGTTCAACCATTTGTCGGTTTGTCCCTGTTTACATTTCCCTACGTACAGTTTACTGTTTAAACTAGCTTGGGAACACCGCGTTGCCCAGGAGTATTTATAGCAACTCCCGCCGTTTACCCGCACTTGGTCCTAAATTACGAATTTAGCTATTTTTCCCTATACAACTCGACTAACTCAAATTAGAATCTCACAGCCAAGCTAAAAACATTCGTTTGGTGCTCCTGAGCTCCCCAATCAAAATATGATACAAATCGTTCATGGGGTTTATGCGTTATAATCGGACATGCAAACAAACAAACAAACAGACAAACGATTAGAATTACTACTTTACATGTATGTTTGAATAAGTATGTCAAAGGGCGGATTAAACTATTTCATATATTTTATTCACAATGAATTGTTAAAAGAGGAACACCTAATCATCCTTGATCTCACTAAATTAAGCCCTGCTAAATGTAGTGCGTAAAAAAACGCTTTTGTAGATACTCTCTCCTATCAGGGTTTGATTTGTAAAATGTTAAACATTTTCAAGATGTGCACTAAACTTTTTGAAGATGTGCACGTAACATTTTCAAGATGTGCACGTATCATTTTCGATCGGTGGAATGTACGTTGTTTTGCAAAAAACTATAATTGATTTTTAATTATTGATTTTTAAGATTTGAACGATTTTTTTGGTTTCCTAAACCCAGTTTCGTTATGTTTGTCCATGGTCGAGTAACATGTGATAATCTGATGAATCCGGCTAATATTTCAAGTTCAAGCTGATGAATCCGGCTATTAAATGGCAAATATTTCAAGTTCAATATTAGGAAAATTATTTCTAAATTTCTAAAAACTACCACCATGACGAAATGTCAAACATAGATTTTATATAATGCTGGGATGTATAGAGTGTCCACATCATATTGGACCGTTAATGGTTGAAAATTATAGATTTTCGGAACTTATCAGAAAATTTCAAAAAAAATGAACCATTTTGAAAAATTGTATAAGGCCAATATAAAAATTTGCTTCCAGAAAATACTGGGTTTTTCGAATATTAAGTTCATTTTTTGGTGCTAAAGCTTTGAGATAATCCAAATGATGATATGGGACTCTGTGTGTATGTGTATGTGTGGGACTCTGTGTGTATGTCACACTTTTGAACACCAAAAAATCTAATTAGTTCTGTCTTCATTTGTTTTCTTAGACATTTGATCTACCATGCATATAAAAGAGAACAAAAAAAGAAAACAAAATATTTTTAATTTTTGCATTGTCTCAATTTTGCGGCATTTTTCTATCGGCTCTAATTGTTTAAAACTTACTGTATATTTTTTGGTTTTATGTGAGTGACCGGCAATGAATAGTAGTTGAACTGAGAATATAGTATTGTAGAAAAAATTTTTAGGATTTATTTGAGACATATAAACGTTTTAATGATTCATAAATACTAAGTTTGAGCGCCAAGTCGACGTTCAAAATCATTCATTCTAAATCATACGTTTTCAGAATCGATTTTTTTAAATTATTAAATAATGACGACAAAGCCTAACAAAAATACTACAGTAAACTAATTACATGTTCAGAAACATATTTCTCATATTGAAATTTTCCCAATAAATCGAGTTATAATCAATTATTTCTTTTTATTATCATATAAAGTTTCTTATTCTTTATGAATTTGTAATGTCGTCTTTTCAATAAAAATTCCAGGAAATCTACAGAAAATAAGATTACTTATTTTCGATGATAATAGTTAATTTTTATTTTCTCAACCTGTGCCTAAACAACTAATTGGTTTACTGTAGAATTTTTAGCACATTTTTCGTCGTGAGTTATTTGATAATTTTTTTAAAAACCGATTATCAAAATCATCCCTCAAAAATGAACAATCTATGAGGATTTTAATATGAACAAATATGCACCTTAAAAACGTCTCAAATGATTCCTACAAAATTTCCTCACAATAATACATTCTTAGTTCAACTACCATACATTGCCGGTCACTCCCTTTCATTATTTTTTTTTTAGGAATAATTTGAAGTTTATGTTAAACAACGTGTTTACCCTGCCCAGGTAAATAAATAAAAATAACAATATAAACAGAAAATAGTAAATATATTTCTTCAACCGGTGTTGTTTTATTTTAATGAATCATGAAAACCTGAAAACCTAAAAACCTGAAAACAATTATTTTTGATTTTTATCGTGTTACAAAATAATTTTTATATTTTATTTTTGAAATTAAACCCTTTACTTTCCGTTTTTATTTGTTGCATTTATGAAAAAAAATATTATTAATAATTTGTTGTAATTACCTGTATCTACAATTGAATAGGAATGAGGAGACGAATTCTACTCTCAAGGACAGTATAGGTATTAATTAAGAATTAAAGGGACTGTATAGGTATTAATTAAGAATTAAAGGGACAGTATAGGTATTAATTAAGAATTAAAGGGACAGTATAGGTATTAATTAAGAATTAAAGGGACAGTATAGGTATTAATTAAGAATTAAAGGGACANTGGGGGGGGGCGTAAATCATGATATTCTTATATTTTGAGATATTTCATTTTCAAATCATTTCCACGATAATCCTTGAATTTATTTGTATTGTCCCGCTACAAGATGGATTGCAGTACATCATGATTTTTAACATTTTTATTTCTCAAGAAAATTTTTTAACCAAAACTAGAAAACTAAACCAGAAAGCAATTTTTGCGTTTTTAAAGCTGATTTTGCATCAACAAAATTGAGAGTACTTAACTTTGAATTTAGCTAGTTTTTACAACAAAAAAAGTTTAAAATGCGAACGATTGATTTATTAATTCATTTTTGTCCAGGTCAATATATTCTTCGGAAACTTGGAAACCTGGGACTTCTCTCTGGTACTCAAGTCTTTACACCAAGTCAGTTTCATAATTGGGTAAGTAGCATAGTTTATTAAGTCTTTACGCCAAGTTAGTTTCATAATTGGGTAAATAGCATAGTTTATAAAGTCTTTACACCAAGTTAGTTTCATAATTGAGTAAGCAGGCATTGTTTATAAAGTCTTTACACCAAGTTAGTTTCATAATTGGGGTAAGTATAGGCATTGTTTATAAAGTCTTTACACCAAGTTAGTTCCATACTTGGGTAAGTATAGTTTATAAGGTCTTTACATAAAGTTAGTTCCATACTTGGGTAAGTATAGGCATAGTTTATAAAGACCTTTTCACCAAGTCAGTTTTATAATTGGGTATGCATAGGCATTGTTTATAAAGTCTTTACACCAAGTTAGTTCCATACTTGGGTAAGTATAGTTTATAAGGTCTTTACATAAAGTTAGTTCCATACTTGGGTAAGTATAGGCATAGTTTATAAAGACCTTTACACCAAGTCAGTTTCATACTTGGGTAGGAATAGTTTAATAAGTCTTCAAATCAAGTAAGTTTCATAATTGGGTAATAGGCATTGTTTATAAAGTCTTTACACCAAGTTAGTTCCATACTTGGGTAAGTATAGGCATTGTTTTATTTGTATACAGTGAGAACCAGAAAATGCGGGGATACTTTTCTTTTACATTTTACTTTTCGGAGCTAAAATTGATTTAAATAAAAACGGTCTCTCCTCAAACTCTAATTTTATAATTCCCATATTTCTATAACCTGATGGTGTAAACTTTTCTATTTTAGCCAACTTTTATATTTTTATTTTATTAGTTTTGGGCAGGAAAAAAGGATTGGGAGATCCCTGCAGGAAGTAATATAATAGCAGTTTATCCAGGAGTACACTATGCAACTAAACTAGACAAAATAGTTGTAGTTGGGGCTCATTGGGATACTGTAGGTAGGGAGTTTTATAATAATTAAGAATTAAAGGGACTGCATAGGTATTAATTAAGAATTAAAGGGACAGTATAGGTATTAATTAAGAATTAAAGGGAC